CGCCATAAACATACCATACCCATGACGCGTGAGCTAATATCCGAACTTTTAATGTTTCAATTCGAAGAGTAACAACTTTACTGGGCACTTAAACCAGTCTCTACTCTTCAGCGGTTCTAACAAAACCAGAAAATATTAGCTCCTTCCCACTTCCATACGCATGCGTATAGTCAAACGACACTGGTCCATGAATTAGCAATTAAACACGGCTTATCATAATGAACTTGAATGGCATCGGATTAAGTATTCGGTTCTAATTAGAGAGTAGGAGAGGCGGTAGTGGGGTGAAGAGATGTGAAATGAGCTGGATGGGGGGGGGAGCAGGGGGAGGGGTAAAAGTTGTGAAACAACGGGGGGCACAGGGACCAGAGATTGAGAGAGAGAGAGAAGAGAGAAAGGGGTTAACTTCTGACATCATTAACCTTGTCCTACACCATGTACATGGAGAAAGAGTAACTGCAACCTCATCCCTCCACACCGAACCGACTTGAAACCAGACTGACCACACGCATGGCCACAGGTAACTTAGTTGTCTGTCCTCCTTCATCCGTGTATATACAGGATATTACGACTACAGTGTGTGTACACTCAGGCTGTAAGTGCAATGCATAGCTATGCGCAGGGTACGTGTCAGCGCGGTTGCTTTCCAATCCTTTGGAGATAATGAAACACTTGCTGCTTCTCAACAATTGACAGAAAATATACCACCTTCGAAAACGTACCCGTAAATCGCCCCCTCCACATGTAGTTGTGAATAATATTGAAGACGCGTGATACTGGCAACTTCGTATTTAGGGATATTGGGTTTTCGGACTTTCTCCATCGTCCTGGTTTCAAGATAACCAAGAAAAACACGACGTTTCGGAAACTGGATCTGTTTCCGTCCTCAAGTGAGGGAAAACACCTACTCTGTTGGGTCCCTCAATCACTGAACCAGTGATTGAGGCTAGCTCTTTCTAAGGGACCCAATAGAATAGGTGTTTTTCCTCACCCGAGGACGGAAACAGATCCGGTTTCGAAACGTCGTGTTTTTCTTAGTTATCTTAAAACCAGGACGATGGATAAAGACCGAAAACCCAATATCTCTATGTGTTATACACCATCGTCAGAATCCTATAGTAACTAATCGTATTTAGGATTTAATCTCAGAGAGGAGAGACGTAATACAAGCAAATCAATATGTCTATTCTCTTTCTCGTAAATTTAGAGATTAATTGCAATGTTGATATAACGTCGGTTCCATCACAACCAAACCATTCCTTGTTAATTATTCGTACAATGAACGATAGAATCGCGGTTTTTGTCGCGTCATCCCAGACATTTCATACGACAGTGGGCTGAAACTGCAGTCCCCGTCCAAACGCAGTACTGACCACGAAATCACCACACAGACTACACATGAAAAGGCTTCAAGTCCGAGCTGAACAAAATGTGCTCAATTACAGTCTTATATTCATATCAAACCGGTCACGGCAGCCGTGCGGTCTAAGGCATGCACTGTCTTCGCTCGCTCGGAAATCGGGATCGTGGGTCTGAATCCGACTCAGGATATGGAAGTTCAGTGTTTGTGTGTATATTTGAGTTTTTCTGTGTTTGTGTACAGGTAGAGGCCTTGCGACGAGCTGATCACCAGCCTAACGAGTCCTACCGAATGCCTAAGATCTAGTAAACCGAAGTGAAACTGGGTTTTTTATGGAGGTAGGCCAAGGCCAAAAATTGGGGCTGTAGCGCCAAAGGGAAGCAAATGTTCATGTCAATTACAGATACGATTAGCTACAGATAAGTAACTCTATGGATGTGTGGCCTTCTTGAGAAAGTAGCGGTCACTCAGCTGGTCACAATACTTGCAGTTTATGGGACCCAAGGGGTCAATATCAAGTTCACAAGAGCAAGACTGGATTATGGCAAACATGTTTTAAATAACAATGTGGTTTTAGCTGGGCACTGTCCGACTCAGTAAGAAAACTGTTGTGGGCTATAACATTCCAACCACAGCGCCCGCCTAGACTCCTGTATATTTTCATATACTAATTCTGCGGTGAGTTGTGCAGCCGGGGCAGCCATGAAGCGAACTTACGCGTTACAGGTCGGTCCGACTTCAACTGAGAAGCGTGCGACTCTCACTGTCCGTATACTGCAGCCCTACTGTAAGTTACGCACTGTCACAGCACTGACAGACACGCTGTCAAACCTCGGCGCTGCAAACCGTACGTTCCATGATTCTGTTTTCTTCATTCTACAATGGGTACCAGTGGCTGCCTCCCTTAGGGCAAAGCGGCGAAACATGAAGCTGACCACTCAATTCAGTCTGCTGATAAAGCTAATAATTGTGGAGCTGTGTCTCCACTCCCACATACGCCTTCACAGCGTGGTGCTTAATTAAGCCCAGGGTAACTATACCAAGCCGATAACAGGGGCCGCGATGTTTAAGGCATAAACCGCCTTCGTCCGCTCGAACACTGGGATCGTGGGTTCGAATCCCGCTAGAAGTATTAATGTCTCTGCAACGGCCTTGCGACGGACTGATCCCCCGTCCAAGGAGTCCCACCGACTGCGTATGGATTAAGAAACTTTAAACGCGGCCAAAGTCCAAAGGGCTGTAGAGCCATAGATAGCTAGGGTAACTTTACCTCTATAGACTTATACACTCTAAGCATGCCTACTTATATCACAGGTCCCAGGAGATACAAGAGCCATTTCTATGGCCATGAGAAGAAAATGTTAACTATGTTGACAATCCAATGTCAGGGGCCGTGTCATTTGTTGTTCTTAAAGGAACAACCTAAACCAATGACATGGAAGCTAACAGTCGCCCAGCAGGATTGACGAAAGGGTACGAGCCATCGATATGGAACAGACAACTGGGTCCTATCCAAGAAGAGTGAATTTGTATTTGTTCCTATTTGTGATTATAACTTTGTCTTTGCATTATGCAATAAAAGAGTACAGGCAGATAAAAGTCTGTGTGAGTAGCAGTAACACCTTACTATCGCCTCCAAGTCCTACTGTGCCGAGCACAAAGAAATACGATATAGAATATGGTTAGAATTTAAGCATGCGCATCGGGCACTGAGAAACAGATGGGTCAGTGCCAATTCTGCGGTCTCTAAACGTGTTGTGGCGGATCTGTGGAACGTGTCTTCCTTAATAAGAACCTTCGCTTCAAGGCGACGGGGTTTCATCTAGTATTTCTCTCTTTCTGTTGCGTAAGCCAACATGTGGAAACATGAAATCATTTGTGGCAAGCCCTTTCTTTTTTCCCTGTCTGTTAATTGCCTGTTACCTCAATGATTCCTCCCAACTTCTACTGTAAATCTTTAATTCCCAAGGCCGAAACAGAGAAGATGTCGGCAAAACCACGCCTCCAACTGGCGTAGATTTGCATCCACGCTCCTGTCCACGTCATGCAGCATTAAAAGATCAGACCGAGGTTCAAGAGCGAAAATGTTCGAGAATCCACATCGGCAGCTTCTTTAGTACCTTACTAGCAAAAATGTGGGATGTTTAAGTGGAGGGATACACAAAGAGAACGAGACTTTCATTAAAAGAAGTTACATGAAGAAGCCTACTTTCTGTAAAATGCTTGCACCTGAGCAGAATGGCTGGCAACAATTAGGCAACAGAGCGAACCATTTCTATGAATCATTTCCACTCGCAAAGATTCCAGAACTGTCAGATTAACAAAGTCATGCGCAGCCGGCAACTTGACAATCCTGAATATAACATTTGTAAGTATGTTTAATTAAACAATTTTAAGAATACTTCAAACAAATCTGCATCCTGAAAACTCAACAGAAGCTGCATATTTTCTACATATTCATTGCCACACACTAATTCAGCACCGTACACAAAATGTCGTAGGTGAATTTAAACATTCATAAACATGGAGTAGCATCCAGTAGCAACATAACTATTGCGGGATCAGGGGGAGAATGGGTATATCTGTCTTTGTAAAATAACGAAACTAAACTAAAACATTCTCTTCTAACTATACACGTATACCAAACTCTGTAGTCTTCAAGGACTATTTTTCCCCTTGAAACCAAACACGAATACTTCTCTCGATGTACGCAATGGAAATTTATCTTTCGTTTAACCGATACATTTAATCCCGAAGTGCTTCGGACTAGTTAAGCAAATTATGTCTGTCCCTTTGCTCGAAGGCCTAACAAACAATTGCTTTATTTTTTAAAAAACTAAGAACGTCGAAAATGGCATAACTGAAGTAAAAGCTACAGAATATATATTTATTTATTTTCATAACCACCATTCCATTTAATTCTTCTCTAATTAGCATAGTATCCTCTTCTACTGTGAGGAGGGGTCATATGAGCGTGAAACTGATCTACTTTCAACGCATTTCTGAGATAAAACAGCTTCCTATAATATTTCCTACCCGACACATATATAACTGTTTCATATTTAACCCTAAGTGTCCGATGTATACTCATGTATCATCACAGTATTTCTCATACTGTCCCCCACATGAGCGCTATAATAAAGTTAAAACATTTTAAGGGACGTAAACTTATATGCTTCTGTCAAGCTGTGCTTGTGTAAGTGTAAGTCTGTATGTAAATAAGTGTGTGTTTAAGTTACGTTCATATTACTCTTCACGCTTCGTTCGGTTTATCGTTTATATAACTTCTGTAAATACAAACTATTAACAGATTAACAATAAGCTACGAACGAGTAACATACGAAAAGAGCGACACAAACGTAGAACGCAACATATATGTACATATATATATATGTTGCGTTCTACGTTTATATATATAAGCATGAAAACCATAAAGACAGCAGCAGTAAAAGTAAAGTTTTCCTTGTGCTTAATTAGATAAGCAGTATGCCATGAACACATATGGAGGAGTGGAGGTATAGACAGCTCCACCACTGAACAAAAATATCTTAGTACAGGCCGATTAAATGACAAAATAAAATGTCTAATAAAAATGCTCTGATCTGTAAACATATCCCTGGGAATTAAGAATGGTCCTTACCCCTATGATGGCGTTCAGTTCAGTCATGGTGACCTGCTTCGCTCTCTCTACAGCCGTGGCCACCTGCTGCTGATGCTGCAACAAACACAAACACTAATTGTGTAAAACCGTTCCTACGGTAGGAACACTTTCAGCACAACAGTAATTAATAATTATAGTAAGGTAAAGCTATCCCTGTAACAGACCGTGAAGCCCCATAGGGTTGTGAGACGTCGAGGCTCCCACATTTTCTAGATAATCGGCTCACAGATGGCGGTGAGGTTGTCAGCCTTATGCTCCAACGGCCCTTTACCCCCCCCCCCCAAAGAAGATTCCTGGTACTCATTTCTGTTAAGGGCTGAGTCGAACCCAGGGCCATAGTGCGGTTGGAAAGATTAGGTCAACTGAAAAAATCAACCTCATCGTGGCTCGAACCCGCGACCTTTCAGCTGTAGAATAATGCCTCAACCAACTACGCTACTGCGTGCCCTTAATTGCAACAGGCTATTATGACCATGTCTAGAAACTCTGAATGAGACATATGTGACAATTTCTGTGTACTGCAACTATCAACTCTACAACGCTTAGGCGCTGAGGAAGAATAAAATTCTAACGCCCAGAAGATGAACGCTGACGGTATGTCATCGTGTTGCAACTTTAAACATCAAAGGAATTAAGGTAATGAATAATTCATGATGACATAAAGACGCTCAAATACGTGCACCCATCTTTACGATACACGAAGCGCATTACCACACATTAATAATTCGGACGGGGGCTGAGTTCACTCGGGTTTCTCTAAGTAGAAGCAAGGGGCTTAGGGGCAGATTTAGGTATGATCCGATTCATGTTCGTACGCCTAGTCAATGGGATATTAATGAAAACATGTCGCTGCATTAATGATAATTAGCCCATGTTCCAAATACACCCGTTCTGTCCTGTAAAAGTAACAACAGATCCGCCTCGAAATTCCTGGTCTCATACCCGAATCTTCGGGATCCACATGGGGGGGGGCATTTCGTGACTAGCTGTACGAAGAAACTTCGTAGTTAATACAAACTGTGAACTGTTTAAGAGTGTCTCAGAATTTGCCTGGGAGAATCACTTTGTAGTTAGAAAACAAGAATAAACTGTTTGGGTTTCAGAGAGACTACAGAAATGGTCTCGGATAATTTCTTGGGAGTTAGAAAAACAAACTGTTAACTGTTTTTCTTTGACTGTCTACAGAAATGGTCTCACAGAATTTATTGGGAGTTAGTAAAAACCCGTTAAATGTTTGGGTTTCAGAGCGCCTACAGAAACGGTCTCAGAAATTTCTTGGAAGTTAAGACCATACACTGACTGGTTTCATTCTCAGAGTGTCTAGAGAAAAAAATGTAAAGCTACCCCTCTAATAGGCCATGGAGGCCCATAGGATTGTGAGACGCCGAGGGTCCCACATTTTCTAGACAATCGGTTCACAGATGGCGATAAGGTTGTCAGCCTTACGCGCCGGCCGGCCCCCCTTTACCCCCAAGAAATATTCCTGGTACTCATTTCTGTTAGAGGCTGAGTCGACCCCAGGGCCATAGTGCGGCTGAAGGGATTAGGTCAATTGAAAAAATCCACCTCATCGGGATTCGATTCTGCGACCTTCCGGCTTGTAGCATAGTGCCCCCGTGTCTAGAGAAATGGTATGGTAAAACTACTTGATACAGCAGCAAACGGTGCCAGCGCACAGACATGGCAGACGAACCGACAAAAGACAGTCATACTGCATTCACTACAGGCAGCCCGAATTCGCAGGCGTGATGGAAATGTCTCTAGCAGTCAACTCAGAGGGTGAAACATATACAGAAAAAAAAACCTCTGATTCCGATGCGGCATAAAATCGATACTACATCAGAGGGAGAGGAGAGAAAATCGATATTTCGCCTCATGTGGCCTGAAGCGTTTAAAACGTCGCCTGTTGCAAATGGAGATTAAACAATTCGACAAGATAAAACCTGCCGGGGACCACCACAGCCTATATTCACATCAGACGATCGAAAGTAATTTTTAATTCTTGGTTCTGCAGCAACAGGGGACATGCGGTAGCATAGTTGGTTAAGGCACTGTCCTACAAGCCGGAAGGTCGCGGGTTCGATTCCCGATGTCAATGGATTTTTCAATTGACCTAATCCTGCCAGCCGCACTATGGTCTTGGTGTCGACTCAGCCTCGCTATCCCGACTCCTTCATAATGATATACCCTTACTAAAAATATTCCACGCTACGGCAAAAAATAAGGTTATCCTGGGCTTAATTAATTCAGTACCATGACAC